AAATAAAATTAAAAAAAAAAAAAGAATCTTCATCTGTCCTTAGAGAGGTTTAGTATATTCAGTCTCCACAATGATCTACTTTCATGAAGACACATTGAAACAAAGTAAATGAAACAGAATTATTCTAAATATCAGCGAAGAGCCAAAATGAAAATTCTCAACATCACACAGTGCCAGTGCAGTTCTGATAGACTCCTATATACCCTTTCACATGACCATATGTCACTTTCTCTCCCTTTGGATCCCGACTGCATGAGAGACAATGCTGTTGCGATCAGGTGAAGCACCAAAGCCCCATAGATCTGGAGCTCTTCGGGGGGGAATAATTTACACTGTGGGAGGACCCACAGGATCTCAATGCAGGATGTAGTCTGACTCAGAAATTATCAGGAGTGTCAGCAACATAGCTCCCAAGATTGTGAAATTTCTGGACCCCCTTAGAACAAACTGTAAATTCAAATATTTCCATAGGACACAGTTTGTAATAGCTAAATCTTGGAAACAACCCATATACCCATCAACTAAAAGTGGATAAAGAAGATATGGGGAGTTTTATACAATGGGGTACTACTCTCTCGCAAAGAAGGATAAGCCTGAGCCATTTCTTACTAATTGGATGCACTTTGAGGCGATTCTCGTAAGTGAAATGAATCAGACACACTTGTGTAAATACTGTATTGTTTCCTAGTGCAAGAAACTGAAAGTATAAATAAGGACCAAGATATGTATTAGATATTGTGAAACAGGAAGAAAATGTTCATATGGAAAGGGGAACTAGGGAAGGGGAAAGAGAGGAAGGGACAGAAAAACAATGATGAGACAACAAAAATCATTATTGCCAAAGGAAAAGTAAGATCTGCCCACCAAGGAAGAGTTGATAGAATCATAATTTCCCTTCTTAATACCCATTTAAATACTCTATGGTTGTTCTGTTAACTCAGTTATAGTCTCTACCAGTTGTGATTCCCAGGTCTATATAAGTTGTTTCAGTATAATTATTATCTATCTTCTACTTGAATACTGTATTACTTATTCTTCTCTAGTTGCTGGGACAAATACCTAACTCTCAAGCTTAGGGAAGGAAAGGTTTATTTAGCTCACAATTACTGGCGATTTTATAGTTTAAAGCAGCCTGAATTACCTAGCAAGACCTCGAGACACAGCTGTCCTGCACTACAGGTCTGGAAGAGAGAGTGGGGCGCTGCCGCGTCTAAGATGATCTGCTCCGTACCTCCAAGAGAGACCACCATGCTTGGTGGGGTGGGTAGGGAGGCACAGGCTGTCAGTTTAACGGTTCACGCCTCTCTGGCCCCACCCCTCAAGCCCCGCCCTGGTCCTTTGGCCCTGCCCCTCTAGCAGGGGCTGCTCCTCAAGTGCAACCACCCCATGATTTACATAAGGCTTTGGGGGGACAACTAGATACAAACCATAACAAACACATAACCAAAACTATCTCTACCACTATAGTTTTTACAAAGCATCTCATATTTTTACTCATATGGCCTTATAAAAGCTAGACTTACAGAAATGACAAGCTGCCACATTTTAATTGTCTTTATGGAGTGTGAGAGCTAAGATAGGAAAAGGGATTTTTTTTTTTTTTTTTGTATTTTAGGGAAGGGTTTAAAGGGTGTTCAGGGTCTCACTACTCGTAGTGATCCGCCTGTTTATAGCCTCCCAAGAGCTGGGATTTACATTTGAGTGGAACTACTTCTACCAACTAAGAATTAATACTAAATTCTCAATTTTAGAAATCCAATTTCCGTAACTTACCTTCTTAATGTATTTTTTTATTGTCATTTCCAAGGATCACTAATTGGAGGAAAAGATTTGTCAATTTATTGTTCATAGATATCTAAACAATTCCATAGCAAATAAGGATAGGGATAAATAGAAACTCCTACTGTTTTACACAGGCTTTTTATCTATGTGAAGAGCAAGTTTAGAGGAAAGGGTGGGGCAGTGACTCTAAGTTAAGAAACCTCAAGGGAGTTTTTTTTTTTTTTAATTCAACCACAAAGCCCTGAGGTTTCTATGAGGGTACTTCAGAGCTCAGTACAGGAAAGGGATGGGGCTTAAAGATGGGACCACTGAGTCTCTCCCCACTGTCCTTATCCAAGTAACTCTACTTACTTTTTGCAATGTATTATTGAAATACATAGATGTATATATAGGAAGGTAGATAGGTAGGTAGGTAAGTAGGTAGGTAGATAGATAGATAGACAGATAGATAATTGTTTATATATTATTTATATATTATTTATTTTTTTTTTTAACTGGGGATTGAACTCAGAACCTTATGCTTTCCAGGCAGGCACTTAAGCCACTGAGCTATCCTCCCTGGCTCTGTTGTTGTTTGTTTTGAAATAGGGCCTTGCTATGTAGTCCAGACTATCCTTGAATTCACTATTGGGCCCAGGCTAGCCTGAAACTCATGACAATCCTCCTGCATTTGCCTTCTGAATGCCAGGATTATAGGTATGTGTCACCAGAGACTTAAGTCTGATGATATTTTTAAAAATTAAGCTAATAAAAAATATAGCATTGACTGCAATCACTAATTGGAGGAAAAGATTTGTCAATTTATTTGTTCATAGATATCCATAGCAAATAAGAATAGGGATAAAGAGAAACTCCCATTGGGGCACATACTTGTAATCCCAGCACTCAGGACGTTAAAGCAGGAGGAGCAAGATTCTGTCTCAGAAGGGAGAGAGAGAGAGAGGAGAGAGAGAGAGACAGAGACAGAGACAGAGACAGAGACAGAGACAGTTTGTTTTGTTTTGGGTGTTTTTTTTTTTTTTTTTTTTTCAGAACCAGGGATTGAAATCAAACCCTTGCACTTGCCAGGTCTTATTCTCCTGAGCCATCTCTCTGGCCCCCAAAATACAGTATTGACCAGATCATAGAACATGCATAAGATGTAAGGGAATTTTCTGCCTAGAGCAGTACCTATCGCACATGTATTATTTTTCTCTCATTAAGACAAAAGATGTTAATGTATGAGTTGTTTTTCCTAAACTATAACTTCAGTATTCAAGTTTAATTGCAGTATTGGCATTTGCTATAAATAAGTGAGTCTTGGGTTACAGTTTGGGCACTCATCTCTAAAAAGTTCACGGTGGGTACAGCTCAGCAGTAGAGCTTGTGCTTGGCATGCCCTGGATTCAGGCCCCAGCACCACAACCAAAGAGGAATGAATCTGGATACTGATCTTGCAAAGGCCAGTTTTTTAAAAAAATTAACAGAGCTTCAACTCTGATTTTTACATAAATCACTATGGTAAAAGCAGGATTATTGTTACCTCTTCTCATACAATTAAGATTTCTACATTGCAGCCTTAACAACAGAACAGACAAAGCTTTTTTTTTTAAAGGAAGATTTTACTAAAAATAGAATCTTGAGTGCACAGCTAGATACAGTTTGTTTATTGTCTGTAGGCAGAAAACCTGTGTGCCTTGTGCTTAGGTGTTATTGTCCATTTTTAACCTTACTAAAGTCTTAGTGCTCCATGAAGACCTACTTAAATCTTTCCTCCAGAGAGCTGTCCCAAACTTCTCACCTTGTACTCTTCAACTGTCTCCTTCGTCATTCTTCCCTTTGTAGTACATCTGTCCTTCTATCTTAGCACTTACCATAAAATGCTTTATATAAACTTTGCATCTGCTTTACCTCCTCTAAATTGCAGTTTTTCTAATTTAGTCATCACAATATTAAATGCCAAAATAATGTTGGCTTAATTGAATGTAAGAGAATAGAAATACATGTCTAACTAGGGAGATTAACTAACTCTGATAGAGTTCCAGCGTTATTTGTACTTGGACACATTTTCAAGTGTTAGAATTCTCGCTGCACTTAATTAAAATATGCAAAGAATTAAATATGTAAGTAATAATTACAGTATGATCACCCTATAACATAATCCTTAAAGTGTTGATAAAGCATCCACAGCCATAGTACTAGTTGGCTTATCACTCTGCATCTCATGTCACTGTCATATCCTCAAGAGGCAAACTTCCAGTAAGACCCCTTTTTTGTCATTTCTTGACATTTTCCATGCTTCTTATCTCTTGTTTCTACCACACTGTACCTACCCAGCTTAGCCTCCATTATAATAGACATAATAATATAGGACCCCAATTATAATCAAAACATGGATCACATTTTATAAAGAAGTTACAGTAGACTAGTGTGGCATGGCACATCAATTGAAAACCATAGTCTCTAATTCCTCTGATCTTGATGACTCATTTTGTAGCCTGGGTCCAGCCATTTCTGTGTTTTGTTTTTTGGTTTTTTGGGTTTTTTTTTTCGGAACCGGGGTTTGAACTCAGACCCTTGCACTTGCCGAAGCACTTATTCTACTGAGCCATCTCCCCAGGCCCTAGCCATTTCTGTTACACTGGAGTTCATTCATCTTGTTTTATGTTTTATTTTCCAAACTTACTCTCTTCTTGATTCTATGTTGTATGTATCATCCATCCATATTTAGAATTTTACCTAAATATCCAAGCCCCACCGAGAATGCTCTCTGGTCCTATTCCCAGTTACAAATCTTTTTGGTTTTAGAGTAGCAAGCTTCATTTCATCCTCCACCAGAGAACCCCGAAAGTCATTGCATTGTTCTTTTCTTTTCTGTAGCCTTCTATCCTAACTTTTTTATTCAGCTGGAATCTAGTTAGTCTAGTTTGAAAAACCTATTACTTTTAAATCATCTATATATGTATATATAGATATATATACATAGATATATAGATATAGATGTGTATATCCCAGTTTTCCAAAGCTAATTCCACCTTGTGCCTATTATCTAGTATACTAATTATTAACAGAAATCCCTTTCACTCTGTATATTCTGTCTTGAACAAGTATATGTTTATCCATAGAACCTATCCATGAAACACACGGAGGTATTTCATTTGCAATTAGAGCTATAGCTGATAAAGTACATACATAGATTGAGGGGCTTGTTGTTTTTATTATTGCCATTGTTCTCCAGTTTGCTTGGCTTATAATAATGGTAAAATTTTTGTAATTTGACAACTAAAACAAATTATTATTGGGGCACTCTGTTGAAGCTAATCTTACTTATCTGTTCCCAGCTTCCTCTCCTGGCTGAAGTTTATGGTATAGAGAGAAACATTCTCAGGCTTAAGATCAATGAAAAAACTCCACTGAAACCCAGGTATGAGGTTTCTGATGTCCTTATCAGCAAGCTGAACACTGTAAGGTAAGCCAAGGCGTGGATGTCTTAGATACACCCTTAGTATGTTCTTTTTCCATACCTCGAGTAGATTTTGTATGTGCCTCCTATTTTATACATTCAAATCCATAATCATTTTCAGCATTAGTATTTAATTATATGAGGATAAATATATCCATTTTGTATGTTACACATTCCAGTTTTTCTTCATCCACTATTTAACTCATCAGTATCTATTAATGGAGAAAGAGCTTTGAGACTTGACCTTCTCACAGTAAAAGCATCTTATTAGCCAGACTTTCAAAACAACTAGGCAGAAAATCTATTTCCTCAGATTAACAGCATGGCTCCAGGGACCTAATACACTCATCAAACTCTCATGCTTATAGCAATTTACAGTATATAGTTAGACTGGCTCACTTTTAATTAAGAGTATTCTCAGAAGACTAACATGTAATTTTACTTAGAGTCAGAGATAAATTAATAATCAATGTCTAAGTGAAAAAAAGATCATTAGGGACTAAAGCATTTTTAACTACCTATGAAATCTTTATCAGTTCTCCCTATACTTTCCAGTTAGACTTCAATTTAGTTTGGCCTATTCAGATTTTTCTCATTTCACTAAGGAAATAAAATTATGCAAGATACTTTAATATTAATTATTTCATTATAATAGTTTTATGCAGATCATTTCCCTTGAAAATATAATGAAAGTTCAAGAAATAAAAAGGACAAATGTATTCAGTAGATAGAACCATCATAAATTTAAAATATATCCATTTATTCATTGCTAACAATCTAAGAACAGGAATTTTTTTTTTCTTTCATTTATGTATTTTGTACAGAGTCTTACTACACAGCTCGGACGCCTAGTGATCCTCCTGTTTTCAGCCTTCCCAGTGCTGGGATTATAGGCATTCGCCCGGACTCAGTCCGGCCCAGCACACCCAGGGGTGGGACCAGAAGGGCATGCGGGACTGGGGATCGAAACCTAGTCTCTGTGCTTGCCAGAGTAGCTGCTTAGTCCACTGAGCTATCTCGCCAGCCTGGAAACAGCAATTTAAAAAGAGACTACTCTGAAAGCTTTGCAGTTTGACAAATGAGTCATTGCATATGTATAATCGTGTAATTATATTATTTTTTCTTATGCTGGGGGATTCACTTTGCTAGTAGATCTGTTAATAATTTCATATCTGTGTCTTTAAGTAAAAATTGCTCTATTTTTTCTGTGCCATATTTGCTTTTTTAGGGCCAGGATGATATTAGTGTTGTTTTATAAATGTGATCTATTAGTCTGTTTTTGTTCCATCCTCTTTCTAAAGGCTTTGGCTACTATGGTAACTCAAAAGCTAAAACTTCCTCCATTTCTTAGATTTCCTTATAGCTAGAGTTTCTAGTATAATTCTGTTTCCACCAATCATATGCTTTTACAGAAAATTTCAGCATCTGACTCCCTGTTTTCTTTGTATAGATCTGATGGCTGTAGGCTGGCTCTAAGCATATTAGTTAGGACCATAGTTTCCTGATCTTCATACTATAGCTAAAATAGCATGATTCTGGAGCCCTGTATTAGTTACAATGACCTCTGATTCTCCAATTTCTTGATTGTAGTCAAAAGAGAAGTTCTTTTTTATTGTTGTCTTTTGAAACAGTTTCACTCTGTAGTCCAGGCTGGGCTTTAATTCCTTATGTAGCCCAGGCAGACCTCAAATTCAAGCCAATCCTACTTGAGCCTCCCAAGTACTAGGATTACAGGAATGTATCACACGCCCAACTTAATACAAGTTCTGTTGTTCATACAGTTACTCAGTATTTTATTTTTATTTTTTTTCTTTGTTTGTGTTTCAGTTTTTTGAAATGTGTCATGCTATATATGTCAGGAACTTACTGTGTAGCCCAGGCCAGCTTCAAATTTGTGATTCTCTTGCTTCAGCCTCCTGAGTGCTGGGTTTACAGGAGTGTACCATCAAGCCCAGTTTAAGCAGTATTGTTCTAGGAATCATTACTGAATGTCTAGAATGAAATTAACTACTTCAATCCCTTCGATGATGTTGTAAGCAATTAATCCCTAATAATGAGGCATTTATTTTCTGTATAAAGTATCTAGAGTTCAGTGAGAAATTCAAGGTTGAAATTTACTCAGTTCAGACTAAAGCAGTTATTGCTGTTGGATTCAGAGCAAGATGCATGAACTAAAGATTTATAAAGCATTTTGTTGCTCCTTTTCAATCTGGAGGGAAATAATGATACCGCTATTATTGAACTCTGGATACTCTAATGCTTAGCAAAATATAAGTTTAAACTTATAACTTTAAATAAAGGAAGAAAAGGGGAAAGAAAATTTGTTAAAATGTTAAAATTGGTTTTCTTTGGGTGGAAAAATGTAATTTTTTTCCTACTTTTCAAAATTTTTCTAAGAAATTATATATTCTTTTATAATGGAGAAAATATAATAAATTGCATTACATTAGTTTATCTAATTTCTTCTATCATATTTGAAGGAAAAAAGAAAAAACAGCTTATTTCCTAATATGATAGATGGATGCTTGAGAACATTATAAAATTTATTTTAATAATGAGAGTAGACCAAATAGTAACACTTTCCTGGCATTTAAGCCTAATAAAAATGAGTAAAATAGGCACAATTATACCTTAGTGAAATATTTCAGCCAAAATTCATTTATTTTTATTTGTTATCTGGGTAATAACTGTCATTCTCCCCTAACTCCCACCATTAGTTGTACTTCAGTTTCCTTTCTGTCATTTTTACTTCTCTTTCTCCCCCAAGTCACTTTCTCTATTCAGATCTGACAACATTGTCATTCAAATACACTAAAATAAAGATGTGTTTTTCAAGATAAAAATAAACTATTCAGACTTGTTTCTGTTATTGACAGTTGAACCCTATTTGATATAATAGTTGGTATCAGAAGTGAGTATAAACAACAGACCTTTAAAAATAGAAATGTAGAATTGACCTGCTGATTTATTTAGATTTGAAGGCAACAAGGACCTAATTACCAGTAAAGGTTGCAGTATTAGTATCATGGGCAGAATTGTGTCTCCCCAAAAATTGAAAGGAGAAACTTCAAAATGAGTACCATAATTCAGAGCTAAGGACTTTAAAAAGGTAATTCAGAAGGTGGGTGTGGTGGAGCACATTGTAATACCAACACTCAGGAGGAAGCAGGAAGGTCATCATGAATTGAGGCCAGCCTGGGCTACATAGCTCAAGGGCAGCCTAAACTACATAGTGAGACCCTGTCTCAAAAGAATGAAAACAACAACAAAGAGGCAATTAAGTTAAAATGAGGTCAGTAGGGTGAGCCCTAACCCATTATGATGAGTATCCTTATAAAAAGAGATTAAATGTCCCACCCCCACCCCATACACACAGAGGACAGTCATGTGAGGACAGAATACAGCAGCCATCTGCAAGCCACAAAGACAGGCCTCCAAATAAACTATGACCTTATTTAAGCTACATAATGTAACAAAATAGATTTCTCCTGTTTAAACCGTGTAGTCTGTGATATTTTGTTATGGCAGTACTAGCAAGCTGACATAACTAATAATAAACCATGGGATTAAATGACCAAGTTACTTAACTACTACACATGGTCAACTAAAATAAAGTATCTTTTGGAACAGACTAAGTGGCAGGATCATAGCAAGTTATGATTGTCCTTTAGCATTCGAAATTTTGAAGTAAGAGGATGGGAGATATCCCTGTGGTATAAGTACCTGCCTGGCAAGTACAAAGTCCTGAATTTGATTCCCAGTACCACACACACACACACACACACACACACACACACACACAATCTGAAGTGGATTGACTGGTTTTAGCATCCCTAAAGAGTTTAACAGAAGAAAACAATATTCACAGGATTTAAAATTCTTAATTCAGGGCCAGCCAAATAGCTCAATGGATTAAAACCCAGAAGTTCCATTCCCAGGCCTGCCATGTCAGCCCTGCCCTAGAACACGCCAGAGAGGGCAAATGAGACTGGGCGTGGTGGTGAGCACCTGTAATCCCAGCTCTTGGGAGGCTGTAAACAGGTGGATTACGATGAGTCCGATCTAGTAGTGAGACCCTAAACACCCTGTAGGCCCTTACCTAAAATACAGAAATAAAATAAAATTCTTAATTCATGGCATTGTCAGAAAACTAATGAATTTCTGTGACTTTCCTGTAAGTCTCTCAGATCTCTTATAGCCACAGGGTCCTTGTAACTGACAATCAGATACACAATTTGGATACTGCAGGTGCCTAAATTAGACCATAAATTCAAATCATAGCCTCTTCAGGTCTTTGAATGTATGGGTTAACTGGAAAAAATTAAGATCTGTTAGAATTGAATGGCAACATTCAGGAATCTTTGGATGACTCTGAGTATATTAAACTCCAGTGAACTTCCCATTCCAGCAGCACTTCCTCCTGCTCTGCCTGATGGAAGTGATCCTGCCTTGCTTGAATACCCACCCTATGTTGACCTTATCTACAACAGACCATGCAGAGGGCTTTCAGTGTTCCTTCTTCCTCACCCTTACTATCCTTCAGTGCCTTTATACCCATTGTCAATCATACCACCTCTTGTACAGAGAACCTATTATAGCTAAACCCAGGAAGAAAAAAATTGCATGCAGGAAGAATTGTACGGTTTTATAATGGTAAACATGTGAGATACATGCAGAGAAATAGTTTTTGGAGGATTTCTAGGCCAGAAGGGAAGAATAATTTTAGATCAGGCAATTTATTGATACAGGCACATGTACTACAGAATACAGATTTGTTATGCTAGCTTGGGGAGCTAAAAGTGGCATACATTGTTTCCTTAGTTAACTACAAACTTAAATCAGCTATGGATTCTAACTGAAGTTAATATATATAGATTCCATAACACAGTGTAGAAGAAATGATCCATGGACTTAAAAAGATAAAGATGTGGAAGTAGATTTGTGACATATAGCCAGGTCACATAGTGCCGAGCCCTTTTGCAAGAGGATCCATAAGATACCCCTTGATTGAGAAATACATGGGTATTAGAACACTTGGAAAGCACTGTAGTGGGTATCTTTCTTTTGGGTTCTGACATAGTGAAGGAAATGATGGTGGTAAAGTGGGTTCTCTTATTTCAGTAAAGATAAGACCCTGGATAGCAGAACAAAGCTAGCAACATTTAGTTCAGAGACAAGAAAGACAATTTCATATTTATCATAGGGCCCACATGGCTCACAAAAGTGGTCTGATCTTCAGGACAGTTAACAATTTGTCCTGGGGTCCATTAGCCTAGAATGGTTAGACTAAGTTCTTAGTGAATGGAAGAATCCAAAGAATTCTGTCCAGATTTTATGAACAGTGAGACACAGCCCCTCAACCAACAGTAGGCAGAGTTAGTTACCAGGACCCAGGTATCTTGATTGAAGGGAAAGCCTAGAATCCATGGATAAGGACTAAATGGATAAAATAGTAACACAAACTTAATCAGGCATGATAGTACATACCTATAATCCCAGCTATCTGGAAGATCACAAGTTCAAGCCCAAGCTGAACAATTTCACAAGACCTGTCTCAGAATTTAAAATAGGAAAGGCTGGGGGCATAGCTCAGTCATAAGGTCCCTTAATATTAGGGCATCCTTAAACTAGCCGGGCGGGGTGTGGGGGGGAGGACATAAACCATTCCTCCCAAAAATCACTAGAGTCCTATGACTATTTATGAGGGTGATAGTACTCTAGACAAAGGAGATACATAGACCACTGAGGGATTTTGAGTGCTTTTTCTAAGCTTATCTCCTGAGGAGCCAAATCATCCTAACATCTGTGTCAAATTAGAGTCTGATGCCAGTCAGGCAATAAATAGTTAAGTAAAAACTGACCTATTTTTGTCTCCCTCTGAATCCAATCTATTTTATTTCCTCAGTTTCTGAATTTATTGGAATGAGAAAGAAAAACAGTGTTTAAATTCTATGTACCAGTATACTTAACTTTATAGACAGTTAATTATGATGACAGTTCAATTTTTTTAAGTGTATATGTGTTAGACCTTGTGCCAAGTGCTTTACAGACACAGTCTCACTCAATTCTCTCCAAAAACTTATTTTTTGTTTCTTTTATTATTTGTCCTTTACAGAGAAGGAAACAGACCTAGAAAGACTGATAACTTTGTTATCCTGGTAGACACGTTCAATCCAAACTTTCTAATGCCAAAGCTTATGCTCTGAATGATAGTTTTTTATTGCCCTATCTATTTAATTTGAATTGAAAACTAAGTAGAACCATGTAAAACTACAAATTTGTTTTTCTTTTCCTGCTTTGTTTTCTAGGCTGACTTCTTGCTCTGGGGATACAGGTAATCTGATACTGTCTGATGAAAAAGGAAATCTGAAGTGTGAAGTCACAGCAAACCCGTTCAAGATAGACTTGGTATCTGAAAAAGAGGTTGTAATGAGCATAAATTCCCTGGGACAGTTATACTTTGAGCACCTACAGAGCCCTCCCAAGCAAAGGTATTTTTACACATTACTTAACACATAAAAACCTGATTACAAATACCAGTTCCTAAGTACATAACAAATCATCACAGAAAGTCAGTTTTCCAGCCAGGCACAGTGATGCGCACCTGTAATTCCAGCACTAAAGAATGTTGAGGCAGGAGAATAGCAAATTTGAGTCCCATCAGTGCAACTTAGTAAGATTCTGTCTCAAAAAATGAATATATAAATAAATAAATAAGAAGGGCTGGGATGTAGCTTAGTGGTGGGCCACCCCTGTATTCCATCATATCACCAGTACTGTGGAAAACAAAAAGCTTTCACTTATTTACTGTGTTATTATTCTGAGAAAGTTCATCTTTTCATCTGTACAGATGAATATAGGCTTTATGACAAAAATGATTCCAAACTTTTGAGAATTTTACACTTTAGACACATTGTTCTGTCATAGTCTACCTTATACACACTTCTAAATAAGCACAGTTTTGACAAGTGTTATGTGAAGTAGCATGTCTTCAGAATGTCACTTTACTCCCTTAAAATATTATTAATAATCAAGATTTGAATAGTTAGAGTTTTTTGGGGCCATGCACTTGATCACAGTTGTTTGTTCCAGTTCACTTAATTAGAAAGTAATGATAAGGCGGGAGATTCTTCTTCCATTTTTTTATCAGTTACAGCTTTTATATTTTCCAGTTTACGGTTCTTATTTTATCATAATAGTAAACATATTATTTAGTGCATTTAACGTTCATTATTTTTACATAGTAACTTTTTGATATTTGGCTTAGTTTTATTTCAAAATATTAATATTAAAAGTGCCTTATTTTCTAAGGGGCCAGGGATGTAGCTCAGTGGTAGGATCCTTGCTAAGTCTATTACTTTTTTAAAAATTATAAAGCTTTAACAGATACAAGAGGGGCCGGGGAGATGGCTCAGTAGGATAAGCGCTTGACTGGCAAACGCAAGGATCTGAGTTCAATCCCCGGTTCTGTCAAAAAAAAAAAAAAAAAAAAAAAAACAGATACAAGAAAACTTTTATATGTATAAGGGAAATGTTAATGATATATAAGAATTAAAAACTCACATGCAAAATACAGAGCTTATCTGAATCGATATGCAAAAGAATACCCAAATTTTAATACAAACTACAGGTATTCATATATTAGCCTGGCATGACAGCGCACAACTGTAATCAAAGCACTCAGGAAGCTGAGGCAGGAGGATCACTGGGAATTTAAAGCCAGCCTCAGCTAAAGTGAGTTCTAGGCCAACCTGAACTGCATAGCAAAATCCTGTCTCAAAAAGGCAAAAAGAGCCAGACATATTGCTCAGCAGCATAAGCACCTGCCTGGCAAGCGCAAGGTCCTGAGTTCAATCTCTGGTACCACAAAATAAAAAAATTTTTAAAAAAGCAAAAAGTGTAAAAGAATTGCATATTGAGTGAGAAAAAGTGTGTCACAAAAGAATATTATAGTATAGTTTTATTTATATAAAAATGTAAAGGTAAAAACCAAATTATTTTCTTTGAAGATTCATGTATATGTGGAAATAAAACATCAGGAATTATTAACACTGAATTTCATAGAGCAATTACTTCTTCAGGAAAGACAGAGACAGGTGCATTTGAAGATAAGTACACAGACACTCCAAAGGAACAAGCTGTTCTGGTGGCTTAAACTTAATGGTGTATCAAAGTTGTTTATTGTTATTCTTTGAGCTCTTTGAATACACTGTCTACTCTTTTATCTACATGGTATGTTTAACACTGAAGATAAAATTAATGCATAGTGAATATGAATAAACAGTTTACAGAGGAATGGAAGTACCATTAAATACATAAAAAGGTAGTCTGCGTCATTACTGATCACAGAAATGAAAATGGAAATGCATTATTTTTTCTAAATTTTTAGAATGATAAGGACCCAAAAGGTTGACAAATCCAGTGTTGTTAAGAATGTGGGGAGACAAACTCTCAAATGCAGTTGTGGGCGGAAGAATAAAGACAATCTTTCTGGAAGACTGCATCATGTTATTGTGTATTAGAATGACACTGAGGGATGAGTGCCATTGTGTACTACCTTGTTTACTTACGTTTTGGTGAACTATTGTGAACAAGTGTTACATTTTTAATAAAAAATTGATAAATGTATTTTAATGGGTTAAGAAAATTCAAGAAATCAAGCTGTTGGCTTAAGTTCATATTAATGTTGTTTTATAAATTCATTTACTTTTCTAGTGATGTTATAAGTTAAAGGATATAATTGGTGAGATCCTAAAAGGTAGAAATTAAGATCTTTGTCATTGAACAAAATTCTGTCATTGCATTGAGTGAAACAATTTTATTTATGTTAAACAGAGCTACCAAAGAAAATGAGAAAAGTACATCAATTGACACTTCTCAGGTAATCAAGATTGAGCAGATTGTGGTCTTCATCACCATCATAATCGTACAATGTGTAATAAATTCTGTTCCTTGCACAGAAGGGTACTTGTTAAATGTATTACTATGTAGAAATGGAATCACCTTTCTCTTGCTCTCTTTGTCATCTTATTGATTCATTCACTGAGTTATTTATAACATCAGATTTATCCTGAGTGCCTGCTTTTTGCTAGGTGTTGCGTTAGGCAAAGATAATCAACCCTGACTGAAACAAATACCAAACCAGTCGTCATGGAACTTGTCCAATCTCTTGGGGAGAACAGACATTAAGTAAATACTTAGGAACAAAAGGAGTTGTTCAGAAAGGTGCAGTGAGAGTACAACAAGGGACTTAACTTAAGGTGAGCGTCTAGAAAAAAACTTTCCAAAGGAAGTAATCTTAAAGTTGAAACTGATGCACTCATATGCATTAGGCAGTAAAAATATTGTTTGTGGAAGGGTGGGAAACTATATACCAGAAGGAAGAAAGGGAAGAAGGGTTATAGGCTAGAGATGGGCAGGTGTTGTTCTGCAGTGTCATAATAACTACCTTATTCAACAGCCTCCTATGTGCCAGGTACTGTTCAAGCATTGGTAGTACATCATCAAATAAGTCTAAGTCCTCTGTTTTGTCATGGAGCTTACCTTATAAACCATGTTAATCTGTTTGAGCTCATCCCAAGAACAAATGAAAACTATAGAAAGGTTCTAAGCAGCAAAACTACATAGTCTTATCTCAGTATTGAAAAGATTTCTGGCTGAATTATAAAGAATGGAAACTAGAAATCTTGTCTTCCTCCATATAGCCCCATAAATCTTAAGAGAAGCCTGACAATAGCTATGGCTACCTGAAATGGTAAAATAGTAGTGCGATAAGGACTTCATCCATGCTAAGCAAGCACTGTACCCCTGAGCTACGTTCCCAGCCCTAAATGGTGCTTTTTATTAAGAACTGATCCATAGTGATGAGCATAAGAGAATTTTTTTTCCATTTCCAAATAAAGATAATAAATGCACAGCTTTATACAAAATTGTGATTAAAATCTCAAATCAGCTTTTGAGGAGATGCCTAATTAGATAGCTTATGCAGTGTTGTTGTTGCTGCTGTTATTTTATGGTACTGGGAATTGAACCCAGCACCTTCACACTGAGCTACATTCCCAGCCCTTTGGTTTTTTCTTATTTTGACACAATGTCTCACAGAGTTGTGTGAGACTAGAACTCATGATCTTCCTGCCTCAACCACTTAAGTTCTGGAATTACAGTGATTTTTGAGCCACAAACCCTTTGGAAGAATTTCATGAAAGCTCTGAATCATCTCTGTAGAAAAAAATTTAATTGCATGTTGTCTGAGGGAGATCACACTCAGCCCATTCATGGACCCAAAATAATAAGCAGTATGTTGAAGATTTCTATGTGATATTTTTAAAAGTGTATGCATACACTTTATAAAAGCTTTAATTATGAAAATAGAATCTTGAAGAGCTCATTTTAAAAATATGCAATTCACATGTACAAGTTTTTAAAACTTCATTTTACTAGGGAAAAGACTAGTAAGGCTGAAAAGTGTACAGCTCTGGATTACAAGGTTATGGATCTGAGCATTTACTGCCATCCCAGCCAACTTGACTTCTCAGACCAACACAGTGTATAGCCAACAGTCTAGCCAGTTAATTGAAGTAGGAAAAAAAAAGTGCCTATCTCAGGGGGGGAAAAAACCTGTTTAGAGTCTCTCAAAATAGATTGAAGTTATTTGGTTCTCAATGATTTGTGTCATAAATTTATAATAAAAGTACTTTTTATATATGTGAAGACTACTTTTTTCAAAGTGCTTTCAGAAAAAAAAATTGCTTTCAGATGATTTTAGTGATGTGTAAAGATATTCATGTCAAATGATACAGTAGTTCCTTAAAAAAATTAAACAATTAAAATCTAACCAGGGGGCCAGGGAGATGGCTCAGTAGAATAAACACTTCCCTGGCAAGCGCAAAGGCCTAAGTTCAATCCCTGGTTCTGCAAAAAAATAAATAAAAATAAATAAATCTAACCAGGTATGGTGGCACATGTCTATAATCCCAGCATTCAGGAGGCTGAGACAGGAAAATTGCCATGAGTTTAAGGCCAGCCTGAGCTACATAATGAGGGTAAGGCCAGCCTGAATTATAGAATGAGACCCTGTCACAAAGAAAAAAAATTTGAAAATCTGATCAGCAGTTGCACCTCTAGGTATATACCCAAAATGAAGGCATAGCGGCACTATTCACAGTGACTAGGGAGGGTCCTCTTGGGAAATATAGCAGTTCTAGAGATAGATTGGTGATAATTCCGTCACACAACAGAGTAACTATGCTTAATGCCTGTGAAGTATAGTCTTGAAAATGGTAAATTACATGTTATACATATTTTATCACAAAATTATATGGCAGCTGTAGTTCACATGGATGATTATTGACATACTAAAGATTTGATTTGTGAAATATACTGCCCTCATATAAGTTGGTCTTCTAAAACATGAACTCATTTTCTTTGTCTTATTTTTTAATAAACGAAATATGCCTTTGTGGTAACTCTATTCGTTGCACTTTATTAAGCTCAATTTGCGCCCCTTTTTTGTACCACCAGGAAGATCAAGAGGATGTAGGACTGTGGGAAGAGAAATTTGGAAATTTCATGGATGTCAAAGCTAATGGTAAATTAAAACTGGAGTAGTATTAAAACAGATCATTTCCAAAATGGCTAAATATCTCTAAGGCTTTTATACTTTGGCACCTAAAACAAGTAACTTTCATGAGATGAACAAAAATCTCAGAGCTGGGTTTCTTATCTTTCCATAATGCATCATGACAGAGAAGTGGTGATTCTATGTATTTGGTAGGTAGTGTGAGAAAAGTCTAGCCCCCCTGTAACTCATAGTCTCAGGAACAGCCCTGGGACAACATGCTATTTGCATTATCTAGTATATTAGATTGTTACAAACTCCACTATGTGTGTGTGTGTGTGTGTGTGTGTGTGTGTGTGTATTGAAAGAGACTGGGAATTGAACCCAGGACCTTCACATTGAGCTGTATCCCACCCTGAGTCCCCAGACCTTTTTTATTTTTTATGTTGAGATAGGGTCTCACTGTGTCATAAATTTGTCCAGGCTGACTCTTGCTTCAATCTCCCAGAGTGCTGGGATTGTAGGCATTGCCACCATGCCCAGCTATTAATTTTCTATTTTTATAGAATTTAACTTATGGGAAACTAAGTTCTTTAGCTTATCAGATCTAGTATTCTTTTGTTGGGGGGGAAGTACCAGAAATTGAACTCAGGACCTTGTATATGCCAGGCAGGCACTTGTGCCACTGAGCTGTATCTCCAACCCAGATCCAGTATCCTGATTCAAAAGTTCTTGGCCTTTTTCATGTCTCCTTGACATGCCCATAGGTTTCACATACCCATTTATGACACTTCTCATTGAATTAGTCATCTTTCTCATTATTGGACATGATAAATGATGCTCACAGCTTAAAAGAGGAAAGATGTAATTTAGCTCACACTTTGGGGAATTCAGTCCATGGTTAACTGGCTCTAATGCAGACATATCATGGCAGAAGGCATGGAGAAACAAAGCTGCTTATTTCATGGTGACTGGGGAGAACGGAGAGCAGCATCTGAGAAGAACCAGTGAGGGCCCTGTACAGTACATGTGTTTATACCTCCACGACATACCCAGGAGCATGCACTACTAACCAGTGAGGTGTTTCTTAATCCAATAAAGTTTATCTGTCAGCATTTACAGGAAGTGGGGTTAGAGTTTGTCCCTTTAGGATGTTCTTTTCTGCTACATGGGGGTATGTGGTTAAAAAAATGCTTATTTTCCTTCTTTCTGCTTACCCTATAGAATAACAAGCCTTCCTCAACCCCTTGAGAATCATTGTTCTGTTTATATTTACAGCACAGTACAGTGATTGCAAACCTTTTAGAGCTGTCAGTGACATAAACAGCCCACAGTAGCATGCATGCCATAGGTTTGCCACTCTTGGCATAGTATAATGACCAAGGTTGAAAGAATGTAGAATTTTTTTTAAATAGGGGTAGTGTTTATGTTCTCCTTTCTGTAACAAAATATTTTGGACCTTTTCTTTCCACAAACACCTATAAATAAGGACCATTTTGTGTCAGATACTTTAACACAAGTGTAAATTTAAGTCAATTTTATATGTCTAGTTACTTGCACTTTTCCCCTACCACTAAAATAATTGTGAAATAAAGGACCTTGTGTTTGTTTAAAGGAAATTTGTATAACTACAATTACACAAAAATAGTATTTTGAGGAGCTAGGAAAGGCTTTCTTGGTTATCCTTGACATGACAGTCCTTATAGGCAACTATGAGACAAGGCTGACAGTGAGAATTAGTAACCATGTAGAAAATATTCATTCACCTAGAAAACATTAAAAGTGTTCAATAGTCTGCTCTCCAAAGTAAAGAAGTAAGGGCTGGTGAGATAGCGCAGTGGACTAAGCACATGCTTTGGCAAGCACAGAGACCAAGGTTTGATTCCTGGTCCCACATGCTACACCAGCCCTGCCCCTGGGGCATGGTGAGTTGGCTGGGCATGGTGAGGTAGCCTGTAATCCCAGCAGTAGGGAGGCTGAAAACAGGAGGATCACTCTGAGTCTGAACTGCATAGTGAGACCCTGTACCAAATACGTAAATGGAAAAAAAAAAAAAAAAGTAAAGAAGTAAATGATGTATTTTACAAAGATTCAAATGAGGAAAAGACCCTAAAATGTTATAACTACTAAGGTAGCAAACAGGTATGCATTTTTTTTGCATTTATTATAAATAAGGACACAGCTTCAGTTAAGGCAATGTGAGTAAGTGACAGGTTTTACCTAGTGTTCTAACAGTACCGAATGCAGTCTCTTACAGGGTCAGGGCAGAGCTGATTGATCAGGGCAAGTTTAGGTCTCCCTAACACTGGCCTGGTCATCTTGATATACTCAGAGGCAACAGAATCTCCTTAACTGATGGTCCTATTGAGAAGTAAAGTATAATCAGCATTCTGGTCTTTACAGGTCCTTCCTCCATTGGCTTAGATTTCTCCTTGCATGGATTTGAACACGTCTATGGGATCCCACAGCATGCAGAATCACACCAACTTAAAAATACTAGGTAAATGAAAACAAGAATTGTTACAGGCACTCTGGTTTGATAGTACTTGTAGAACTTTAAGAACCTTCCTTGGATGATCACCCAAAGCAGAACTTTTCACATTTTTTTAGTAAAAGCTAGACAATTACAAAAACTGTAACACTGAACTTAATACAGAAGAACCAAAAATAGGAAGCTGCTATGATTGAAGCAAGGGAGAGATCTTTCTCTCTAGGTCTCGTGCTTACCTTGCAGGGCTTTTTTGTGGAACTTTGGGAAAATGCACTGTGAAAGATCACAGACCTAAAAAAACAGCATCACTCTAAAGAGAACAGTGAGCCAGAGAGCTGAAAAGCATGGCATCTCATTGCCTTGATTCCCTCGGGGAGGTCATTTCAGGTTTATAGGAACAAATAGATCTGAGAGCCGTCAAACTAAGAAGGGGAAAACGAGAGACAGAAACAGAGACAGAGAGAAACAGAGCCTGGCCAAGGGTGCCAGGTCCCTGAATTGTTCACCTGACAGGCATAATGACAAGTCCTTCAGAAACTGCTGCTCTCGCCTCAGCCTGGCTCTGTACCCCACCTGCACCCCAGTTCAGTTCCTGATCTTTCCCTGCTCTGCTGTGGGAAAGCATGTTAAAATATCTCCTTTTGTTCTAGCTGCAGAGAACACTCACAAAAATGCATCAGAAAATGCTTAGTGTGTGCTTAGTTACAGAGGTGTCACGGGAGATAGATCTCCTCTCAGAGGAGATATTTAGAAAAGAAGGCTAAGAGATAGGGCTGCTAAAGAAACCAAAGAAGGAGAGTCACATTCACCCACGTTGGTTCGGGGAACCTTTAGGGAACTGGTAAGTGTTCTATCCATGAACAAAGCATCTTTGGAGGCCAGGGAAATAGCTCAGTAGAATAAGCGTTTGCCTGGCAAGCACAAAGGCCTGAGTTCAATCCCTGGTTCTGCAAAAAAAAAGCATCATTGGTGGTAATTTATGGTGGTCCTATTGTTTTAGGGATGGAGATGCTTACCGTCTTTATAACCTGGATGTCTATGGATATCAAATATATGACAAAATGGGCATTTATGGCTCAGTGCCTTATCTTCTGGCCCACAAACTGGGAAGAACTGTAGGCATTTTCTGGATGAATGCCTCGGAAACACTAGTTGAAATCAATACAGAGCCTGCAGTAGAGGTGAGCTGCGAATCATGGTTGCATGTCCTACTTACAGAGGAAACACAAAGTTTGCATGCTAGGCAGAGCTCTCTTTTGTGGAGGTAATTTTCTGCCACCAGAAGTATTGGAATGTAATCAGTGAATGTCAATTGTACTAAAGGAACAGACTGACATACAATTGGGTGTTGTAGGTTAGAGAGAAATTTCTCGGATTTTCATTCCATTCCTTTTCCAGTATGTACTGACCCAGATGGGCCCAGCTGCTGCTAAACAAAAAGTCAGATATCGAACTGATGTGCGCTGGATATCTGAAAGTGGAATCATTGATGTTTTTCTGCTGACAGGACCAACCCCTTCTGATGTCTTCAAGCAGTACTCGTGCCTGACAGGTATGTGCATGTAGAAATACCATTTTCAATTCCGTTGGATTTCCTTTGTCTCATGTATTATCACTGTAAGCTAACTTTTGTTTAATACTATATAGAATTTATAAACAACTTCAGCATTTTGAGTAGCAAGCATTCCTCCTCCTTCCCTCTTCACATTCAACCATGTTAAACATCATCCTGGATATAGAACTGTCCACTCCCTAACCCTTCCCATTTGCCTTTCATGGAGCATTTTTCTGTGGGTGTTAATCTACCACTGACTCAGATGGTGAGTAGCCCAACCTAAACTTTTGCACTTTTTTTCAGTGTTAAAATATTCCACTCAGAGCTGGGGAGATGGCTCAATAGAATAAGTGCTTCCCTGGCAAATGCAAGAGCCTGAGTTCAATCCCCAGTTCCGAAAAAAAAAAAAAAAAAAAAAATCCACTCATTTAAAAGACAAAATAAACCACTGATTTTAGCAATAAATCATTTTAACTTTAAAAGATGATAAATCTTGGTCAGGATGGAGCCCTGTGGTTGGATATTTGCCTGAAAAAAGTCCCAACGCCTCCTGTGATCATTGACAGAGCTTTTGGAATGTGATGATGTCACTGAGATACTATATTCATTGCTGGATCAGTCCATTGATGAGTTTATAACTAAATGTGCTGTTAGAGCTGGAGCCTGGTCAGAAGAGTTGGTGTACTGGGAGGGTGGTCTCGGAGGATCTCTCGCTTTGTGCACTGCTTCCTAACCACCATGTGATGAGCAGTTTTCCTTTGACCAGGCCCTTCCACTATGCTGTTGACCATACAAGGACTGAAATTTCTGCAACATGATACAAAATAACCTCTCTTCCTTTAATTTGTGGGTATCACCTATTTGTGAGTAGATATTTTGTCCCAGCAATGAAGAAAGTGACTAAGATATATAATCCAGTATATGAAAAACCTCAGAGAACCCACTAAAGGGGGGAAAAACTACTGGATGTAAATTTAGCAAAGTTTCAGGATACAAGATCAAAACTCAAAAATCAATTGTGTTTCTATGCACTGTCAATGAAATAATCCTAAAAAGACATTAAGAAATCAATTCTGGGTGGGCCTAATAGCTCAGCAGATGAAAGTGTTTGCAGGGAAGCACAGGGGCCAGGGATTCAATCCCTGTGCCTGCCATGCAGGCCCTGCCCCCAGGGCACACTGAGAGGGCAATTGAGACTGGGCAGTGGTGGCCTTTACCTGTAATTCCAGCTCTTGGGAAGCTGTAAACAGGTGGATCACTATGAGTCTGATCTAGTAGTGAGACCCTGAATACTCTGTAGACCCTTTCCTAAAATCAAAAGGAGAGAGAAAGAGAGAAATAAAACAATTCTGTTTATACTCCCATCCAAAAAAGTAAAACACCTAGAAGTAAACTTAACCAAAGAAGATATATTAGTCAACTTTCCATAGCTGCAATGGATCCCTAAGGCTTGTAAAGAGAGGTTTATTTTGGCTCACAGTTTTGGAGGTTTCAGTACATCACTGATTGGCCCATTCCTTTGGTCCAATGGCAGGCAAGTCATTGTGTCATGGTGGAAATGCATAGTGAAGCAAAATACTAATGTTACATCCAGGATACAAAAGAGAGAGAAGATGGGGCTGGGGAGATAGCTCTGTGGTCTAAGTGCCTGCCTGGCAAGTACAAGCACCAGGGTTCCATCCCCGGTACCGCGTGCTGTGCTGGCTGCTGAAACCAGGCATGGTGGGGTGCGTCTGAGCTGTGAAAGAGACCCCATACCAAATAAATAAATATTAAAACAACTTTAGAGAGAGAGAAGAGATGAGGGTTCCACAGTCCCTGTGGAGAGCAGGCCCCAAAGACCTAAAGACCTTCAGGATCCACCTCTTAAAGTCTCTTATCACTTCCCATCAAGCCTATCGGGGGACCAAGTCCATAGGCCTTTGGAAAATATTCCAGATCTAAACTATTGCAGAAGTGAGAGACTTGAACAATGAAAAAACTACAAAATATTCCTGAAAGAAGACATAAGTAAATGAAATGCATACTTTTGCCTCCTTTCAGATATAAAGCCATCTTTTTTCCTGTCTTCTCCCTTGGTTGATAATTTGGCTGGATAAATTGAAATTTCTTTGTGCAGAATTTTAGTTTCCATATTGACTTCCGGCTTCTTCCTCTAAAACTATACTTAGTTGTATTCCTTTACATATAACATATCTTTTCTCTCTGAAATACATCTCTTTAATATTCTGAAATTTTATAATGAAATTCCTCAATGCAAATCATTTAAAGTAATTATTGTGCCAGACCCTTTCAGTTTTGAGATTTGTGTTGTTCAGCTGTGGGAAACAGTTGTGTATCATACATTTCATAATTTCTTTCCCTCCTTTTTCTCTTTTTCCTCTTTTGATTTTACAGCCTTTTCCTTTTTCATCTATTTCTGAGCAGTGTTCTCAGTTCTGTTTGCCAGGCTTTCGTCATATTTCTAATGTCTAGGAGTACTGTCTTATCCTCTGATTATTCCTTGTTTCTATTAGTTTGTGTTTATTTTTTGTTTGTTTTGTTTGGTCTTGTTTTGTTTGTGGCCAGCTTAGCCTTCCCTGGTGCCCAGGGATCAACTGCCATCCCTGCATTTGCCTAACCTTGCCTAAGCAGGCACTTTAGACCACTAAGCTATCTCACCAGCGAGTTTGTGCTTATTTTATGCTAGCCTAGTCTTATTGAAGGACACAGTATTCCTTTTCATCTCTAGAGATGTTAATGGTAAGGTCTTGATTGGTTCCTTACATTGTCCCTGTTTGCTGAAGATCTTTTTATTGTATTTTTTTAATTTGAGTTCCTGTCTCTAATTTTAGAGCTTTTCCTCCAGTGCAGCTCTGCCTGGCAGCTCTGTGTGCCTGAGCGTCTCACATGCTAGTGTTATGGAGGCAGGTGGGGTGCTCTCCTCCCTGTGCAGCTGATCTAGGAGCCAGGACAAGCTCTTCTCAGCAGCATCCCCCTCACAAGCACTCTGGAGAAGCTGCCCTGGCTGTCAGCAGTTACCGTCCTTCCTCTGCCCATCACCTTGTAAATTTTTGTTGAAATGATTCCTCTTTCATTCTCTTTGTTTTTGTAGCTTTATTCCTTGTTTACTCTGATTTTAGTGAGACTTTAGGAGGAGAAAAATATAAATGGTCTACCAGAAGTCTTACATGACGTTTTTACAATATTTCCTGATAATTCTTAAGTCATATTATGAGACAAACCCTTGGCCTTATTCATGCTAATGGTAGGCAAGTGTTCTACCACTTAGCTACATGTCCAGCCCCTCACTTAACTGTATAAAGGTTATACTTGGCCAAATTTTTGTTGGCTTCCTGTAAAAGAAGATTCAAAATTCCTAGCCCAAACTACAGGGCCCTTTAAAAACTGACCTTCTTCAGTTCCATTTTCTCTTGGTCTCTCTTCCCCTGTGGCATTTATTTTCCCTAAGCCTGTCATATTATTTCCTATACCTGAAACACTCTATTTGTTCTCCTTATCTGGGAAGGACTTTTTTTTTTTTTTTTTTGGCAGGCTCAGGCTGCCTTAAGGGCAGGTCTGGTAGGGCATGGGGAGCTGGGGATCAAACCATGGTCCCCTGCGCCTGACTGGGTTTGCTCCAGCAGGTCCTTAAACAACTGAGCTAACCCGCAAGCTCTGTTCTCCTTATCTGGGATATTCCTCCTTATTCTTCAAAATCCAAACCAGGATCACCTTCTCTGTGATGCCTCTCAAGACCCCATTTCGCCACAGGCAGAATTTATTAACCTCTTTGTGGTCCCACAACATTAGACTGATACCTTTAATATAGCAATTATACCTAAGGGCAAAACTTTTTTTTTTTTTGAGGCAGGGTCTTGCTATGTAATTCAGACCGGCCTCAAACAAACAGGCTGATCTCAAACTCATGACAATCCTCCTGCCTCTGCCTTCTGAGTGCAGGGCTAAATATTTTATTTACATGCCTGCCTCATCACCCAAATTGTGACTTCCTTTTGTTTTTTGGGGGAGGAAGGGTCTACAGGGTATTCAGGGTCTCACTACTAGATTGGACTCGTAGTGATCAGCCTGTTTACAGCCTCCCAAGAGCTGGGATTACAGGTGCACGCCACCACAGCCCAGTCTCAATTGCCCTCTCAGGGTGCCTCTGTGGGGCCACCACAGCAGGCCAGGGGATCGAACCCCAGCCCCTGCGCCTGCTTGCAGGTGCTTAAATGCGCTGAGCTATTTGGCTGGCCCTTGACTTCCTTGAAAGGAGAGACTGTGTTTCCTGTCTTTGACCTTCTATTTGTAATATGAACCTCAATGCTCAGTAACCTGCAGACATTAAGAAAATGTTTACCAAATCATTATCACAATAATCATTATTTACTGGGATGATCGCTGACTCAGCTGTCATTGTTCCCTTTTAGGTACTCAAGCCATGCCCCCTCTCTTTTCCTTGGGGTACCACCAGTGCCGCTGGAACTACGAGGATGAGCAGGATGTCATGGCAGTGGATGCAGGATTTGATGAGCATGACATTCCTTATGATGTCATATGGCTGGACATAGAGCACACTGAGGGCAAGAGGTACTTCACCTGGGACAAAAAAAGATTCCCAGACCCCAAAAGAATGCAAGAGCTGCTGAGGAGCAAAAAACGTAAGGTAAAATAAGCCACCATTTTGAAACTTTTAAATTATAAAGTTCTTTAAGATTTTTAGATTTGGCCATGAAAAATATAAAAAGAGATGGTGAAAATAGTATCTTCAAATGTAATTTTAAGTGTTATAACAGAAAATGAATGGTGAAAAGGCAATGACACGCTCCATCACTGCCCCAGTTGTCTGAGGCCCCAGTGATGAAAGGGCTGAGCCTGTCCAGTCCCATTTGCTGCTGTGTCCCTGTAGCAGTGTGATGAGAGGCCACACACAGACTCACTGGATTTGACACTGGAACCAAATTTTGAGTCTGTGCATGATGCCTCATCATACTACTGCAGGGCCACAGCAGCAAATGGGACTGCTACAGGAAACATATGGTATTTCTTTAAAAAATTAAAAATAGAATTTCATCTGAAGTGTAACCACTTCAGGTTACATACCCAAAGGAATTGAAAGCAAGAACTCAGCTAGGCATGGTGGCACATACCTGTAATCCTAGCACTCTGGGAGGCTGATGTAGAAGGATCACATGTTCAAGCCAGCCTGGGCAACTTACCAATTGAATGAGACTCTGCCTCAAAATAAAAATAAAAAGGGGCTAGGATATAGGTCAGGGCGAAAGCTCTGGATTCTATCCCTAGTATGGGGAAAAGGGAGATTTTTTTTTTTTAAAAGCAGGAACTCAAACACATATTTGTATACCTATAGTCAGGGCAGCATTAGTCATGATTGTAAAAGGATAAAATAAACTGAAGTTCCTCAAGATAAATGAGCTGACTAAAAAAATAAAATTAAGAAAACCCTTGTGGACTACATATACAGTGGAATATTATTCATTCTTAAAAAGGAAAAAATTCTGGGGCCAGGGAGATAGCTCAGTAGAATAAGTGCTTGTCTGGCAAGCACAAGGGCTTGAGTTCAATCCCTGGTTCCACAAAAAAAAAAAGGAAGAAATTCTAATGCATGTTACAACATGGGTAAACCTTGAGGACACATACTAACTGAAGCAAGCCAATCAATTAAAAAAAAGCAAATACTGTTTGGTTTCATTAGTTTCAAGTAACTAGAATAGTGTAACTTTTATAGGCAGAAAGTTAAAAAGTTGTTGCCAGGAAGGAATAAAAGTTTATTGTTTATCTCTTATGGAGTTTCAGTTTTACACGAGTTCTATAGATTGGTGCACAACAGTGTGAATATATTCAACACAGTTGAGCAATACATGTAAGAATGGTTAAGATGGTACAGCTTGTGTTATGTATATTTTATCAAAATTAAACATCTTAAAACTTTTGAACAATGAATTAAACGTTAGCCCATAAGATGGATTAGAGATATTTAGAAGGTTGTTTCAGCCAAATAAAGTGGTATTACAGACCTCAACTAGATGAATGTGATGTAATAGAAGGACAGGAAGGGGGCCGGGGAGATGGCTCAGTAGGATAAGCGTTTGACTGGCAAACACAAGAATCTGAGTTCAATCCCCGTTTCTGCCAAAAAAAAAAAAAAAAACAAGGACAGGAAGAGATGCTAGAGACTTGGAGCTGTGGTACATGGCTTTTCTCAGATCTCCTTCCTAAGTCTACCTGTATCATTGGGCTTGGGATTGTTTGTTTATTTTTCAAATGTTATTTTCCTTTCTTTAATATTTGCTTTTATAACCAAACATGGTGGTGCACCTATAGGCAAGAGGATCACTGCAAATTCAAGTCCAGCCTGTGCTATATAGTACATCCAAGGCCGACCTGAACTGCGTAGTGAGACCCCATCTCAAAACAACAATGAAAAATTTGCTTTTATCAGTGTTGTCTTAGCCTCTAAATGTCTAGGGAGCCAGGACCCTGCCTCTTAGTCCCTTAAGTATAGCATCGAGCTGCCAGCTTTACAGAAAGATAGCTTAATAAATGCCTCTTGGGCTGGTGAGATATCTCAGCAGACTAAAGTGCCTGCTTAGGCAAGCTCAAGGACCAGGATTTGATTCCAGTACCACATGCCACACCTGCCCCAGGGGCTCCTGGGTGTGCTAAGCCAGAGACCAAGTCGGCGTGGTGACGCACACCTGTAATCCCAGCACTGTCAAGGCTGCAAACATGAAAATCACTACAAGTCTGAACTGCATAGTGAGACCCTGTACCAAATACATTTTAAAAAATAAAAAATAGGGGCCAGGGAGATGGCTCAGTTGAATAAGTGCTTCCCTTATGCAAGCACAAGGGCCTGAATTCAATCCCTGGTTCTACCAAAAAAAAAATAAATAAATAAATAAATAATTTTTTTTTTTAAAAAAGCCTCTTAAGAATACATATTGCTTAGGCATCAGTAATTGCAAAAGTATATTGGTCTGGTTTTGATATCAATTTTAATTTTCATGATCATATGAAAGGTTAAAGAGTTTTATTAATGTCTGAAGTATTTAAATATGAATTGTAGTTGTTTCTGAATAAAATTTGAAGCCTAAAACTATGGTAAAAATCTATAAATGAACTTGTCATGTAAAACTGATGAGATCTTCAACCCTTTATGTCCTGACAGCTTGTGGTCATCAGTGACCCCCACATCAAGGTAGATCCTGACTACTCAGTGTACATTAAAGCCAAAGAACAGGGCTTCTTTGTGAGAACTCATGAAGGGGGTGACTTTGAAGGAGTGTGCTGGCCTGGTACGATATCATTTTATATTTACTATATTCGTGTGTTCAATTCCAATTAACGAACAGTACATGGCTGTTATTCTTGTGCCTTGTAGATGTCTCTTACTTCTCTAGCTACATTTTAAGCACTTTTAAGAAATAGATGGCATTGCCTTCTTAGTATCTTTCTTTTTTGTGTGTGAAACCGGGGATTGAACTCAGGCCCTTGTGCTTGCCAGGGAAGTGCTTATTCCACTGAGCCATCTCCCCAGCCCCTTCTTAGTATCTTTTATAACATCCAAAGCATAACTTTCTTTAGAAGAATTTCAGTCAGTAATCAAATGAACGAATGTCAAATTAGCAAACCTCAGTGACACACTATTTTTCTAAGCAAATAGACATGAAAAGTAAGGAGAGAGCCAGGCATGTTGGTAAATGCCTATGATCCCAGCACTCAGGAGGCTGAGGCTCAAGAATTATTGTGAGTTCCAGACCAGCCTGGGCTACAAAGTGAGTTCAAGGCCAGCCTAAACTGCACAGCAAGACCCTGTCTCAAAAAGACCTACCCCCCCCAAAAAAAAGAGGTACAAAGGAAAAAGTTTCCTGAAGGCTGTCTCTTATGATTGTTCTCTGCTTTTTTAGGACATGATTTTGGCTTCCCAAACTTTCATGAGTAACCTCAGATGCCTCTGGCAACTACAGATTTTCATTTCAAAAGTTATTAATGTAACCAGGTGTGGCAGCACATGCCTACAATCCCAGTACTCTAGGGTGATTGAGGTAGGAAGATTGCTGTAAATTCAAAGCCAGCCTGGGCTACATAATGACTTCAAGGCCAGCCTGAACTGCATCACAAGAACCTGTCTCAAAAAGACAGATAAATAAATAAATAAAATAAACAAAAATTATTAGCTTGAGCTATGTGTGATGGTATGTACTAGTGATACTAGCACTTAGAAGGCTGAGGCAAAAGATCACCAAGAGTTTGAGGCCAGCCTGTTCTACACAGTGAGTTCAAGACTATGTCTCAGGCTGGGGAGATGGCTCAGTGGAATAAGTGCTTCCCTGGCAAGTGCAAGGACCTGAGTTCAATCCCCAGTTCCGAAAAAAAAAAAAAAAAAGACTATGTCTCAAAAAACAAACAGACAGAAAAAGTTATTTAAAGCCACGGTGGGAACTCCCCCAAAACAAAAGGAAATTGCCCCTTTGTTATACCATAGAACTTTATTACAAACTCACACAACGTGTAAGAAACCCAGGCCCTTCTTTTCTCTCCTGGAACCAATGAAACAGATGTCTATGTTCTTTTCAAAAACTGAGGGGCCACTGCATGGTCTGCTCATTGCCGCTAGAGTCCTGTACTACTTTTATTCACCTACAGAGGATGCCTCTCTCATCTCTCTTTTATGTTTGATGCAAGGTACCCATTGATTATGTAGTTCTTGCATCTGATATCTTCTTTATAACACATCTTACAGTGAAGTCCACCGCTCCTAACAAGCTGTTTTCTGCTCTGCCTCAACAGGTCTCTCCTCTTACCTGGATTTCACCAATCCCAAGGTCAGAGAGTGGTATTCAGGTCTTTTTTCTTTCCCTGCTTATCAGGTTTGTTTCTGTTCTTTTACTCATTCCTAGTTAACTTCATAAAAAGAAAGAAAAAAAGTGATTGGATAGAACTCTGCTTCGCTGAGTAACTCTTGATGTGTGATGCCTGTGTGAAAAGCCAAGGGTGGCCACGACAGGAGACTTGGGCAGTGCTGCGAGAGGTGCCGTGTGTGCGACTTAATACACAAAAGCTGTGACCTCTACCTCCATTATAAGAGATTTATTATATTTTCAAATTACTAATACATTTTAAATATAATATAGTATTCTATAGCTGCAAAAGAGATGTAATAAATGTAAAAATATATAATGTCACTCAAAGTAAAGGATTTATTTTAAAATCTTGTGAGAACCATAAAGAACTGAAAAAGCTATATCGCCAAACCTGGAGAACTGTTTTCAGTCAATATGAGCAGTTGATAATAATGCTTTTGGTGATGGTGATAATGAACACATACTGAGTACAATGTAGGTGGCGAGCACTGTGCTACACTATTTGTCTTTTTTTTTTTTTTTGTCTTTTTGTGACAAGGTCTTGCTATGCAGTTCAGGCTGGCCTAGAGCTCACTTTGTAGCCCAGGCTGGCCTAGAACTTGCAACAATCCTCCTGCCTCAGCTTCCCAAGTGCTGGGATTACAGGTGTGCGCTACCACATCTGGCTGTGCTATACTATAATACCATTTTTTTCTTCACAATAACCTTCTGGAGGTGGACCTGTAATTAAATCTAATCCCACAGACAAGGAAATTAAAGCATGGAGAATTTAAAAACCTACCAAGATTACATATCCAGTAAGTGATTTACCTAAGATTTGAACTCAAGTCTGTTTGCTTTCCAACGCCACATCTTAACTTCTGAATTTTTTACTTATCTTCTAGACACTAATTTCTGAGTATTAATTTTGTAGCAAACAATTTAGAATATGGATAGATGACTCTTGAGCCAAGTATGGCCATGTTTATTCACTCACAAATCATCTATGGCTCTACTATGACAGAATTAAGTAGTTAAGAGATATTATTTAAAAAAAGAGATATTGGGCTGGAGAGATGGCTCAGTGGTCTAAAGCACCTA